TCTTCATTTAGCATAGTTTTTATTTCTTCTGTTGTGCTTTCTCTTCTATATAGTATTGTCATTATATAGTTTCTTGTAAAAGTCCTTAATTATATTTGTTTCTTCACTTTGATGGTGTATGGTTCCATTTTCATCTTGCAGTTTATTTATCCATTTTTTTTCTTTCTATTTCTTCAATTTATAAGCTAACCACCTCCCTGGTTTGCATTCTCAAAGAAGTTTTGGTTCATTCTCTTTATATGTTGTGCCAGATCCTCTTTTTCAATAATGTTCAATTTAAGTTTAGTTAAGTCCATTTGCTGTTTTAGGATTCCTTTTTGTGGTTCCTCTTGTAGCTCTACCTGAAATCTTCTATATTCTTCTTCTAACCATTTTTGTTGCTGCTTCTTTTTATTTTTCTTAGCCATATATGATATAGCAACTCCCCTCATATATGCTTTCGCTGTATCCCATAGATTTTGTAGGGATGTGTCTTCTTTCTTGTTTTCATTGAAGAATCCCATTTGCTTTTCCATCGTCTGTCTAAATTCTTCGTCATTCAAAATTGATTGATTTAGAGTCCATCTTATGTTTTTCTTCTGTCCTTTCCAGCTAATCCTCATTGGGTTATGATTTGTCCAGAGATTTGCATCTATTTCTACTTCATTTACTTCAGCGTTTAATTCCATCGACATCCATACCATGTCAATTCTAGACGATGATTGGTGTCTGTTTGAATAATATGTATATTGATTTCTCTCCTGGTTCCATGTATCCTGCAAATTTAACTCTTCTACCATTTTAAAGAAGGTCCTAGGACCTAGGTAATATTCTTCTAACTCCCTTATTTTGTTACTTTTATAACCCAATTTATTATCTATTATTGTGTTAAAGTCTCCTAAAATGCAAAGATTATCACACACTGTGTCGCTGATAACATTATGTAGTTTTTTGTAAAATCGTTCTTGTCCCCCATTTGGGGCATAGATATCAACTAATAAAACACATTTTTGATTTTGTATTATTTCCACAATCAGAATCCTTCCCTCCTCGTCATAGTAGATTTGCTTAGCCTGAATTGTCTTCTTAATATATAGCACCACACCACTCTTCTTTTGTTGTGATAATGCTACAAATAATTTCCCCAATTTGGGGTATTCCAGTAATTATGTTGTTCTTTTATATGGACTTCTTGTAGTGCTATTATATCTAACGTCAATCTTTGTAGTTTATTAAGAGTTTTCTTAGTTTTCAAGGGGGACTTCAGTCCGTTAATATTCAGTGATAAGATCTTAACCTCTCCTTGCATTTCTCTATCTATATCTAGGTCTTATACTCCTTGTTGTTCTAATCTCTCTCAGTTCTTTGGATCTTTTCCCGTTGCTCTCTAGTCTTTCTCCTTTCTCTTTTTCTCTCTCCTTTAGCTGTAGTTCCTTTTCTTCTGTAGCCAGTACTCTTAGGTCTCTTTCTTCTATTACTTCCCTCTCCTCTGATTCCTCTTCATTACCAAAATATTGATTGTAAAATTCCACCGCTTAGTCCACTATGTCCACTCTGTATCTCTTTTCTTGCCACGTGACCAGTATACCTTCCGGAGTCAACCATCTGAAATTGTTATGTTTAATCAACAATGTTAAAAATTGGTACGGCCTATGCAGCTCTCTAACTCTTCTTGGGACCTGTTTGAGAACTACCAGTTGTTTTCCTTTATAATATCAGCTCATCTCTTGTCCTATTGAGCACTTTGTCTCAAATCAATTTCTTCACTAATCTGACGTGCACCTCCTTTGGAAGGTTATGACTCCTCGCGTAGTTTGTGTGAATCCTACAGGTCTCGTCTATTTCTGTCAATATCTGTTCCTTCTCTGATCCTAGTGCCTTTGCTATTGATTCTGCCATGGTATCTGGTAAATCTTCTCCCTTTTCTTCTCTCATGTTCTGGAATCGTATGCAATGTGCAGCTTTCTCGGACTCCAGAAAAATTACTGTAGTTTTTAATTCCTTGTTTGCCTGGATTAATTTATCACTTCGTTCGTCTACTCTTTTTTCTTCTTTCTGCATCCTCTCTTCTATTTCCTGTAGCTTCTGTTCATTTTTGGTAATCTGTTGTTGAAAACTTTCAAATTTTTCATCCATCTTTTGCGTTTTTTCTTTGAGTTCTCCCGTATCATTTCTTACCCCTCTCATCTCTTTCTTCATTTCATCATGGTTCCTAGTCATGGCTTCCTGCATCGATTGCAGCATAGCCTGTAAGTCTTTGAATGAGTTTGACCTTTCTCTTTGAATCATATCTTCTACTGACCTCTGGTTAGATGGGCTAGAGGTAGTTGACGATGCCTGGGAGGCTGGTTCCCTCCCTGTCCCTATATTTGTTAGATTCGAAGTGCTTGTCATCTGAAACAATTTTTCCACAAAATTATTTTTTATCCAACACTCCCACCTCTTTTTCACTCGCAGTTTTATTTTAAGAATATTTTCCACCGCTGCCACCACTCTTCCTTTGATTGTAGGTCCTGAAACTGCTCCATGATTCCTCTCAATGCTTTTATCATGGGGGGGGGGGGGGAGAAAGTCCACCCCTTCTTCTTCCTGAAGCCCCTTGCTCTCTTGCATTAATTTAAGTGTTTCACTCTAAGTGTGTTCCACTCACTTGGTTGAAGTCGGAACTCATTGCAGCCAGGTCCGGTCCACTGTCCTTCCACTTTGACGCTTGCTTTGACCAGCTGTCAGCTCTTCGATCCGGCCATTACAGGCCGTCTTCTTCCCTGTCCACTGTCAGGAAGGATTTCTCCCGACCCTCGACACAGACCGCTGCCCACGTAGAGTCGACGAACAGCCCTGCCTCTCCAGTTGCCCCTCCGAGGTAACTTTGGCTTCAAAAAGCCCTCCAGACGGCTGGAAATTGGCTGTGCTCTGTGGAGCGCCCACTCACACACCTGTTTGCTCAGTGCTTTATAATTCAAATGGATCCAAAGCTCACTTAACTCTCAAGTGGTAAGATGAAAGCTGCTCCCCCCCAAACGTGAATGCAGCCAGAAAAACTACTAAATTTAAATCACATATGAATTAAATTTAGTTAATAATCACTCTCCAGTGTTGTATTTAATGGTGTCCATTTCTGCCACATTTAAAATTACAACACAACCATTTTTGGAGGTCTCAAGGTTTACAGTTAAGACTTTCAGAAGGTACATATAACCTGGTAAATTAGGTTGTGCATCTCTAATGGTCCAAAGAGACCGATGCTAATTGACACTCTTATTTCCCCCCTAACATGACACCTTTTGTGATATGTAAAATTATACCTGTGAAAATATAAAGCAATGGTAATGCCATTTTTGGCCTCTGTGTTAACCTAAGACAATTTACTAGAATATTATGTAAGAATTCTCTGTACTGTTTTGTATGAAGGTCATATATTTGGCAGGTCACGCTGTCCAGTGTCATGTTAATGATGGAGATTACTGGAAACGGAAACGGGTAAACACGACAAGGAAACAGATGGTATGCTACAATAGTAGGGTGTTGTGTAGGGTGATGTGTAGCTGGATAGATTGTGAACCTGGAAACGGGCAGTTACTGTATATATTTGAAACTGTATATAAACCCCAGCCTTCCTAGGAGAAATGTCTTCTGTGGCTCTGCCCATGAGCAGAGAATTCCCTTTTGCAAAAGCTCCATAATAAAGCTCTTATTTATTGTTCAAGAGTCTCCAGTCTCCTGTTGTATGAAAACCTGGTTGGTTTTTATCACACCTTTTAAACTATGACAAGGTAGAATGAAGATACCAATTCACAGACGAATTGATTAAAAACAGAATACGTTGAAGTTCTCCTTACCCTCTTCTCATGCCAACACTCTCCACTTTAGAATAAGGTATGTTGCAATTTTTTGCCTACCTTCAGACCTAATTTATGTACAAAATGGACCACATTGCATTCAAAATGCGAAGAATTTTAAGCAATAACGTTGGACTCAAAGCACAAAAGTAAAAATATCACAGACATACTGTATACTGATATGAATGTTAATATCACAGGAGACATTGGCCTGGTAAATCACCCCACTCATGAAGTCTCCCCACCCAAAGTAACCAGTTATGGATAATTTGCTACTTAAGACCATGCTTCTGAACAGGTGACACATTCATGGGGTATGGCCATAACTATTTAGATAAAAAAAGACACTCTCTCAAACACAGCAGATAGGCAATTTGGGAAAATCTTTTACTATAATTATCCTAAAAGCAAAATATAAAAAAACCTCAGCAAACAGGTATTTATGGTGCAGTGACAAGCTAAGAAGGATACATATAAGAAGTAAATAAGAAATATGGCAGGATGCAATGAACATCATCAAGAGGGAATATCCCAGGACACTCAAACTACAGGTACATACTACAGGTAGTCCTTGACTTACAACAGTTCATTTAGTGACCTAAGTTAAAATGGCACTGAAAAAACTGTCTTATGACCAATTTTCACACTTATATCACCCCCATGGTCACATGATCAAAATTCAGATGCTTGGCTAGTGGTTCATATTTATGACGGTTGCAGTGTCCTGGGGTCACATGATCCCCTCTTGTGATCTTCTGACAAGCAAAGTCAGTGGGGAATCCAGATTCACTTAACAACCAAGTTACTAACAAATGCAATGATTCACTTAACAACTGTGGCAAGAAAAGTTGTAAAATGGGGCAAATTCTCATAACAAATGTTTCACTTAGCAACATAAATTTTGGGCTCAACTGTGGTCGTAACTCAAGGACTACATGTACTTTGTACAATTTCAACTACAAGAGCCCTAATGATTAAAGCTATTTTCAGTAAGTATTGTTCCCCAAACCAAGTTCTATCGATCATCCCTTATCCAGAGAAAAACACAAAAGGGGAGGTGGGAGAAACTCAGCCAGCACTGGGCACAGCCTACTAATGCACTGATTATGGGGTTCAGAGACTCAAACAGCACAGTATGTAGTACCATGTTAAACAGTTCCTTCCTATGCCCACATCACTCACCTCATCAGGACAGATAACTAGTTTGAAGTTGAGAAGATCATCCTGGTCTGAAAAGTCTATTTCGCATGTTTTTGGCAAATTAAGTTCATTTATATCTGGCAGGAAAAGCAGAATTGTCAATTTAGAGAAGGCAGCTGGTTAGAGATTTGTGACCAAATCAATAGAAAAGCCTCTATTCCCAAACCAAAATATATAATTCTTCTTTATGTCAATCATTAGTCAACACTGATACATTTCTCTGAAAAGTTTTAGAAAAGGGGGAAAAAAGTAAGTCAACAGTTTCTTGACCACAAGACAGGAAAATAAACTGGGAAATTTGATCCAATCTCATGATGTTCTAATCTTCCTAAAATGGCTCCAGGATAGCTTGTTGGAAATTTTGATTCACTGTATATCATACAAAAATGAAACAAAATATGTGCATGTACACAAGAACTGACAACTATTAAGGGACAATCAAGTTACTGTAATGTAATTGTAAGTTATAGGCATGGATTATTCTGAATGAGGAGTTATTTTAAACAGGATATTTGAAATTATAAAAGACTGCATGTGTCCAAGATTAATAGAAAACAACCCACAGCCTAGTCTAACTCCAATTGTTTATAATAAAGCATAAAATGGAGTTGTTCAATAGCCAAAACTTTGTGGAGGATGGACAAGAAACAAAAATCAGCAATCTACAGTTTGAAAAGGTTTTCATGTATCAACAAGTTACTTTAGCCTATTATATAGTGTTTATAACTCATCATATGAAGAAAATCAGACTACCATTGCTTTACGAGTTTCAAAAGCCAGACTAAGATCCAAAAGAGTTCTGTGAGTAAAAGGAATTAGGTAGGACATACCTAGTTTAATGATTTGCCATGAACTCACCAAGCAGCCACTAGCAGGAAGGGCTTTTCCAGTCACACTTACCAAAGCTTGGCTGCTATGAGGATCACTAAATATATTGAGAAAAATCGAAGCACTAAGGCACCACCATACGAAAATGAAAAAAAACAAACCAAAACCCAACAGCCCGTGATGTTCATCAACGGGGACAACTGAGACAGCAAGCCCTCGGTGGACAAAGTCTTAATCCTATCGTTGACAGGAGGTACCTACTGATCCTTACGGCACGGAAGAAACAGCACCACTGCCCTCACCGGCCTGGCTTTGTTTCTTTCACCTAGAAATAAACGCAGCTGCCCATCCGTCTCTCGACCTTCCCCCTAACCTTTCTGGATGCGGAGCTGCGCGGCAGACGCTTTCTTGGTGGAGCCTTTGGTGCCGCCAGCCGATTCCTCTTCCTTCTTTTGCTGTTTCAACGAGAATAGCTTGATCATCTTGGCTGGTTTCTGGTGCCTTGGCTAACTGTTGTTTGGCCCTTCCGGCCCCGGCCTCGGCCTCTCCCAGTGGTTACCGCAGCCAGGCCCAATACAATACTGCCCAGTTCTTGAGAAAAGGGAGAGAGTGAAAGTAGGGGGAGGACGACTCGGCGGCCTAACTTGGCCGGCCGAGAGAGACGGGACGATGAGGGCGGGGAGGCCGAGCCAGGGAAAGGACCAAGCAACCGGGGGAGTCCCGCCTCAGAGCGCCGCCGCCGCTTTTCCTATTGCTTGCTCCGTGTGTAACTCTGACTTCAACGCACAGCCACCTTCGGCCCTTCCCGGAAGAACATCGGCAACTTCCGCCATACACTCAAGCTCCGCCTAATTGCCGACTCTCCAAAAGGACTTGGCTGCCTTCGGTGGAGACAAGTGGTGGTTATCGAAACTCTCGGCCCTTCAGGTTCAGGGCTCGGCCTTCTTTGGCGAGTCAAAGGAGCTCTAGGGGTTTTCCCATTCGGCTTTGTTTTCGGTCTCCCCAGGGTTCCGGCTGACGAATCTGTGGCAGGAATTTCCGGGTCTCAAGTTAGACTTCTGGGATTCCCAAGAGTCACAGAGGTCATAGCGCTTTTCTAAGATGTCAGGTTCCCAATTGAATATGGCAATATGCGGGGCAAGCGATGTGGGGGAAAAATATCGAAGTTTGATTTCAGTGTAATTGTTTAAAATCTCGTCTCAGTAAATGCCCTATGAATTCTGGAAAAGGAGCAAAGATACTTCTCTGAGGCCCCTTTTGCACAGGGCGTTTGACCCTGTAGGAAGCCCTCCCCCCCCCCCAGATTAAAATATTCTTTATTCTTAATATTAAGAGAGGCACACAATAGAATATTTCCTCAAAGGAGAAATGGAAAAAACATGTTCTTAAAAGCAGAAAGCAGCCCCAGTCTGATGGGCCATCTGCTAAAATAAAGCCAGGTCATGGCACACACTTCAAAGTAAATCAGGAAGATTAATTGTGGAGTCTGTCTGGCAAGAACAAAGAATGCTTATCCACAGGAGATATGCATTCTTTGTAAATCTTGTAACTATCCTGGCTAATTGGAAAGCTGATAAAAGTAACACCAGTTCACCAACTTGCAGACCTCAGCTAAAAGGCCTGCAGTAAATTAAATGTGTATTAGATCATTCCTAGGGCATTAATTAGCCAAGACTTGGGAATAGGAACAGCTAGAGACCAATAGAACAAATTGTAGAATTATTACTAAAATGTTTATTAGATGATATTTCTTATGATCCCACCTTCCCACCTTCTCCTTTAGTGAAAAACTTACTCAATCCTTTGTTCTTGGCTCTTGGCATTTTGACCAGGAGCCCTTTTCCTTGGAGTACTCCAATAAAAAGCAGTCAGAAAACCTGCACCTCATGTCTGGTGTCTTTCATTGGCTTTGGCACCAGGCTCAGACCCAAATTGGGGACAAGAAGTCTTCTTGCATTGTAAAACAGCCTCCAGGAGATGCCTGAAGTCAGATAACAGATAATCAGAGTTGGAAGGGACCTTATAGGTCATCTAGTCCAACCCTCCTCCAGGGGTGGGATTCAAATTTCTTAACAACCGGTTCTGTGGGCATGGCCTAATTTGTGGGGGTGACTTGGTCATGTGACTGGGTGGGTGTGGCTTCTACGTAAATATATATATGTTCTGTCTCACCTGTGGCCACAAGGTGAGAGTCCAAATGTCCAAAGGAAAAAACACGAACAGACAATATCAGGAACAACAGAGTTAACTTTCCTCTGGCTGAAGTCGTCATTGGCAGCTTTCCCAAAAGCTGTCTGCAAATCCAGATAACAAGCAGCACCAAATGGCAAATCAGAGCCAAATGGCAAACAGAAAACTTTTTCCAAACTGCGAACGTAAATAACAAAGTTTGACCGGAACGGAGATTCCAAGCTAACATGCCTCCTTATATTCCTTAAAGGGGCATGTCAGTCTCTCTACTCAGTCCCTGATTTGACGTTTCCTTTCAATTTGTGCTTGACGTCTCAGCCTACGTCTAGTCCTTACATCAACCCAACATTCATCGGCTTGATCATCACCCAAGGACTCCGGCACATTCTGTCGATCATCTGCTGACACCTGAGGCATAATTGATGAGGAAGGTTCTGGAGAGGATGGTGATTCCGACACTTCCTCATCCTCCTGGCTCACGTCTGCATCTCCCATTAAAGCAGGCTCAAATCCCAATGCCAAACCCTCCTCATCACTCGAACCTGTGTCTTCTGACACATCAGACTCAAAGCGCACAGCAGGCTCAAACCTCCCAGTCACAACATACATACATACATACATACATACATACATACATACATATATATGTTGTGGCTCCGGACTTGGATTCAGCTCCTGTGGCTGATATGAGCTCAAGTGAGGAGGACATGGCAGAGAAATATGAGCCAGCATGGCTCAGTGATTGGAATGATAATCAGGAAGAGGAGATGGACGTGACAAGAGAGGACAGACCTGATTTAGTAGAATGGTCAGGACCTTCGACCTCCTCTGGTTCAGTATCTGATCATCAGCCGGGAATGGCTGACAGAGAAGTTTTAAGAGAGTCTTCAAGTGGAGACGAGAACTTGGAGAATTGTTGGTTAGATGTTAGGAATAGACGCCGCTTTAAGAGGCAAGGCCAGCTGGAACGCAGGAGAAGGTCAAGTCAGTAATTAAGGAAATTAACTGTTGCCCTAATAACTATAAAAGGATCCGCCTGAGTTTGAAAATTTGTCAGGAACAAAACGTTTAATTTACGTGGAGAAGCAACGGTCAAAGCTCGGAGGTTTGTGGATTTAAGCCAGGATTAATGTGCTGTAGACTGTGAATAATAGCAGCTGTTATCTTCTGAAACTCCTCTTCGTTTGTTTTGCCATATAACCTAAACAACTTCCTAACACACCTAAACAGCACACACCCCAAAATCAAGTTCACCATGGAAACGGAAACAAACAAACAACTACCATTCCTAGATGTACTAATCTACAAAAAAACAGATGGCACACTAGGACACACCATATACCAGAAGAAAACACACACCAACCGCTCCCTCAACGCCCAATCCCACCACCACCCAGCACAGATAAACTCCGTGGCTAAAACACTAATTACTAGAACCAAACGCCTGGCAGACAAGACACACATTAAGACTGAACTATGCACCCTGACCAAAGTACTGACAGCCAACGGCTTCCACAAAAGCAAAATCACCGGCTTGATCCACAAAAACACACTGAGACATAATAGAGACCCAGAAGATGAACAGACCTATGGAACAGCTGTCCTGCCCTACATAAGAGGCACTACAGACAAAATTAGTAAGATACTACACAGACACCACATCAAGACTGCCTTCAAAACAGACAGAAAAATAGCAGCCATCCTCAGAAACCCCAAAGATAAAATTGACCTGGAAAACCAAGGCATATACGAAGTCCCCTGTGCATCATGCCCGGCCACATACATTGGACAGACCAATAGAAGAATAAGTACCCGCCTGGATGAACACAAAAATGCAGTCAAAAAGCTGGAACACACTTCCTCACTAGTCCAACACATGGAAGCCACAGGTCATAGCATCAACTTCAATGGCACCAAACCCTAGCCACTATAGAAAACCCCAGCCACAGAATCATCAGAGAAGCCATAGAGATTGAAAAAAGACCAGAAAGCATGAACAGAAGAGATGATTCCACCAGACTGTCAATCATTTGGAAGCCTGCACTCACAAACAAAAAAATCTCCACACCACAAGCCAGGCAAACACCTGGGCACAAACAGATCCCCCCTGATACCTCCAGCTCAAACACACCCCAACCAGGCACCCAGATGAAACCTAGCTTCCTAACTAATGATAGCCGTCCATTTACCCGGAGCCAAGCTGCACTAAAGGCCTCCAATAAAGTAACACAATGTTGCCAGCCAATCAAGATACAAAAAGAGCCAAAAAACAGACAGAAGATATTAGAAACACCAATCAAGCAGAACACAGCAAACTCCAAGACCAATAATCACAGACCAAGACTCTCAACCAATCAGGATGAAGAAAAAACCATTCTGGCACAGCAATAGGCTGCCCCAAATTCAAATCTGAAACCACTGTAAAAGCCTGACTCACAGATGAACACAATACAGAAGCCTGATGATGGCAGATGAGATTCTGCCGAAACGTTGCTACAACTTTAAAAGCACAACTACTATGACGTGGGAAAATACCCGAACAAAGCTGAATACCATACATGTAAGTACCTGCGAAAACTTAAGAAAACATATATATGTATGTATGTATGTATGTATGTGTATATATATACACCCCCACCCAATCATGTATGTATGTATGTATGTATGTATGTATGTATGTATGTGTATGTATATATATACCCCCACCCAATCAGAACACAGCCAAGCCCCCACCCAATCAAGTCACACCCCCACTAGCAGTTAAAAGGAAGAAGCAGCTGCAAGCTCACATCACTCTGAGAAGCACAGAGCTGAAGACACAAGCCTGAAGATGATGAATGAGACTTCATCGAAACGTTGCCTAGATACTTCCAATCTTACGCAGGAGAAAACCCGAATAACCAAAGATCCACATACAAATACCCGCGAGAACCTCAGAATATATATATATATATATATGGCATTCGGCTTTGTTCGGGTATTTTCCCACGTCATTGTAGTTGTTCTTTTAAAGTTGTAGCAACGTTTCAGCAGAATCTCATCTGCAACAAGAATTAAGACATACTAGAGCAAGAAAAACCCCTTATAAAGCTTAACATGGATGAAAGAAAATTTATTACGATTAACATAAATGGACTTAATTTGGCTACTAAAAGAAGGAAAGTATTTCACAAATTAGAGAAATTAAAATTTGATATAATTTGCCTACAAGAAGTACATATTGAAAAACAACATGAATATATATTGAAACAAAAAAAAATTAGGGAAATTATTTACGTCACTGGCACAATCTAAAAAAAGGGGTGTGGTATATATTAAAGATACAATTTTGGCAGAACTAATTTACACAGATGATGATGGAAGGATTTTGATGGTGGAAATAATGGAAAATAATGTTAAAACACTTTTAATTGCAATTTATGCAATTATGATAACCAAGAAGAATTTTACAGGAAATTACATATGAAATATAATTGAATTGGACTATGTTAATATTTGTATGATGGGAGATCTTAATGGAATAATTAATGATCGGTTGGACTATAAAACACAGAAATCAACAAAGAAAGCTAGAAAGATACTACCAAAATCTTTCTTTCGAATAACAGAAGAATTTAACTTAAAAGATGCACGGAGAGAGAGAAATGCAGAAAGTAAACAATACACTTTTTACTCAAACAGACATGCATCATGGTCTAGAATAGACATGATATGGATGCCAGCAGAATTACT